GGAGTTGCTACGGTACCCTCAAAGATGGAAGGGTTTCAATACATTTTTCTATGTAAATTCATAAATTTTTTTTAAAAAAATTAATTTAATTATAAAATAAATAATCTAAATTATACTTATAAAATAAAAAGTAAGATAAAATTATAGAGATTAAAATTATAAGTTTTCAATAATATTATAAAATATTAAAGAAAAAGAAAAAATTAATAAATAGTAGAAATAAAAAGTTATTAAAATTACAATATAGAAATTCAAAAATTTAAGACAAAAAGACAAAAAATATACTTAAAAAATTATTAAAATTAAAATATAAAAATTCAAAAATTTTAAGTGAAAAGATAAAAATATACTTAAAAAATTATTAAAATTAAACTATTTAAATATATAATAATATTATTACAAATAAATTAGAATATTTAAAATAAAAATAAAATGACTAAATAATTTAAAATTTGAAAGAATAAAATATCATAAATATTATTTAAATAAATTATTAAAAATATAAAATATAAAAAACTGTACCGGTACCCTCTCAAATAAGATAGGTATCGTAGAATTTCTCTATTAGTAATGCAATTCATGCACGTACGTACGCTTAAACGCAGGTTGAAACACTGCAAGAGAGAGCAACAAAGCTTCAGGAGAAGGTACGACTTAAGATTAATAGAACGGACATGGAGCCACGAAGCTTACTTGAATTCATTGACGACGTTCAAGTTCAACGGTTGGGACTGTCTTACAAGTTCGAAGAGGATATAAACAGAGCCCTTCACAGGATTGTTTCAACAGAAAACTTCAAGGACCAAACACACAAAAGTCTGCATGAAACTGCTCTCTTTTTTCGAATTCTTAGACAACATGGCTTTCATGTCTCCCAAGGTCTGATTTCAACCTGTAGTTAATTAAACCCTTTTTCAAGAGATTTCCAAGGGTGTGCTTTTTTACATGATTTTCTATTACATATTCATATAAACATATAATATATTACTGAACGTATTAATTTTTTCTCTCAATACTTTAAAATATTATTGAAAAATAAATGATAAATATTTTCAAATATAAAATCTAGCTATTTTTAAATGATTAATATCGATTATAAGGATCAATGTTTAAAATTCAAGAAAAATAAACATTGTATTTTAATTTCATACAATATTTTAAAAAAAAATAGTACATTAATTTTATTATTATGCCTTTAAGAAACCCCTTTAATTATCACTCATACTTTAAGAACTTTCATTTCTATTAAGATGCATGATTATGTGGGGTGCAGATGTGTTTAAGAGTTTCCAAGATGAAGAGGGAAAATTCAAGGCTGACGTTAGCGAAGATGTGCAAGGATTACTAAGTCTCTATGAAGCATCTTACTTGGCTTTTGAAGAAGAAAGTCTCTGGGAGGAGGCAAATGCATTTTCAAGAACACATCTCATGAACTTAATGAAAGAGGGGATAGAGGGGGAATTGGGACAACAAGTTAGGCACGTGTTGGAGGGGCTTCCCTATCACCAAAGCCTGCACAGACTAGAGGCACGGTGGTATATCGACACCTGGGATAAAAAGGAATCCCATAATCACGATTTGTTAGAGCTTGCCAAACTTGATTTCAACACTATCCAGTCATTAAATCAAAAAGAGCTCCAAGAAATGTCAAGGTCAGATCTCTAGAGGAAATAAAAAGGAAAAAAGAATAATTATACATTGTTAAACAAATATAAAAAGAAAATCACCATGCACCTTATAAAATTCCTAAAGTTAATTATATCGTTAATATATAGTGATTTTTTCTAGGTATAATAGTTATGCGGTTTTTATCTTCTAAGATTTAACTAAGTAATATTAGTTCAAATATTATAATTGATGTAATTTTACTTATCTCATTAAAAATATAATAATAATTGATGTCGAGTTGATAAATGACATAATAAACATAAAGCATCGACACGAATGACCTAAATGTAAATGTGTTAGTGATATGATATGATATATAAAAATAAGAGAAAAAAATTATCAAATTGTCAAATATTAGATTTGGATCCTTGACTAGATCAACAATAATTAATTATTAAGTAAGGTAATGACTGTTTTTAACATTAGAAATAATTTATAATACATATACCTTTATCCCTTCATATTAAAAAGAATAAAAAAAGCGTATACCTTTATTGAAAAACAAAATTGTATATATGCTTACTGTTGCTGAATAAAAATTATATGTATATACATATAATATTTTATTTATTAATATAAATAATATTATTGATAAATTTATATTAATAATATTATTATATTTATAGATAAAATATTGATTTCATAAATATAAAATAGTATATATTAATATAATTTTACAAAAGTATAATTATATTATTTAAGATATAAATATATAAGAAATATAAGTTAATTAGAAATATACGATATAAACTATAGAGTCTAAAATATGCAAATTAGATACTCAAAACTTATATCATATATTTCTGGTTAACATTTTTTTAGTATATTTATATTTATTATTCTTCTTCTTCTTACATTTCTTCTTTGACATTTTGACAAATTTTTCTCTTATTTTGACAAATTTTTCTCTTATTAAAACATATAGTTTCAAAAAAACAAAAAGAAAAAAATCTATAGCCAAAATCACCGTAATTTGAGGAGGAATTCGGAAAAAGGATGATGGTTTGAGTAATTAGCTTTATTTTCCTATCCAATTCTCCAAAATTAGGTTTCTTTTAATGTGTTGTTGTGTAGGTGGTGGAGGGACATTGGCCTCGCAAGCAAATTAAACTTTGTCCGAGACAGATTAATGGAATCTTTCTTTTGGGCCATGGGAATACTCCCTGAACCTCAATTTGCTAACTGCCGTAAAAAACTCACTGAAATAGCAAAGCTAGTCACAGTCCTAGATGATATATATGATGTCTATGGTACTTTGGATGAATTGGAACTCTTCACAGATGCTGTTGAGAGGTTTTTCTGTCAATAATATAGCTATATTTTTCTGTCTACTTTCTTAATTACTCTACGTATATATATTTTTATACATGTGAATGCAACAGATGGGACGTGAATACCATAAACACTCTTCCAGACTACATGATATTATGCTTCTTAGCCCTCTATAACACTGTTAATGCTATAGCTTACGACATCTTTAAAGATCGGGGCGTAAAATGTCTTCCTTACCTAAAAAAAGCGGTATGCTCCAGACTTGCTAGTTACTAATGCAACACAACTAATTATTCCTTTCTATATTTAGTATTTATTGATCTCACATGATTACTTCACAGTTCTGTGATATGTTGAAGTGTTTCCTCAAAGAAGCAAAATGGTCAATCAACAAAGTGATTCCATCATTCAACGAGTATCTAGAAAATGCTTGGATCTCATCCTCAGGCGGGATTTTTCTTATATATTCCTTCTTTCTTACCTGCCAAGACCAAGACATCACAGAGCAAACACTTCATTCTTTAACTAATTACCATGAACTCATGCGTTCTTTATGCACCATTTTCAGGCTTAGCAATGATTTGGGAACATCAACGGTAATCTGTTAATATTGAGCTTCATTTGCCACAACCCCTTTCATATTAAACTCATGGCTAACACTACTGGATCTCTGCAGGACGAGATAGAGAGGGGTGAAACAACAAATTCAGTATTGTGCTACTTGCACGAAACCGGTGTTTCTGAAGAAAATGCCCGTGAGTACTTGAGAACTTTGATTGACAAAGCATGGAAGAACATAAATAAATATCTAGTTATGGACTCTACATTCCCCAAATCTTACGTACAAGTGGCCATTAACCTTGCTCGAATAGCTCAATGCACATACCAATATGGAGATGGATTTGGACGACCAGACAATAAATCAAAGAGTAGAATCGAGTCATTGCTAGTTCACCCCGTTCCAGTTAACGAGGCATGATGATTTTTCGGTTCCCATTTCCTTTTAGTTTCTGTTGGTTTATATATATATACTATCCTGTTGAAGTTGTGCAGATCCTGTTGCTTGTTGCTGCTGTGAGTTATTTTAGGAATGTGAAAATATATAACTGAACTTCAGGATAAGTTTATTTTTCTATTTAGATTTATGTTTCTGTACTTTGTCTAATATACCATGATTCTAGGACCAGTACAATCGTGGGCTGTTATTTTATCTTTCCGTTAGTTGTAAGGCTATTTTAAATAGCCAAGTTTGCTTTCTCAAATCAATAAGAATATATACTCCTGAGTTCACTAGTGCAATTATATGTATTCCCAATATTTTTTATAGTTCAGTTGTAACATATATCACAAAGCTAGAATTAATAAAAGAACAAAATAATTAGCATCACTGACATAGTAATGTTAGAAAGTTATGGCAAAATGGCTATAGTTGCAATATTCGATATGAAATTTTAGCCTCACACTTTTTTATTTTATTGGTTAAATTGTAATTTTTGGTTCCTTTAATTTTGTTAAACTCTAAGCTCAATCCAAAAGCTAGTTAAAAATTATTAAGAAGAAAAAGAGAAAGGGTTAGATTATCAAATCCTTGGAGAATACATGAGAGATAAGGGTAGAAAAGTGATCCCTAAGCCCCATTTTAATCAAATTAATGTGTGTAAATATAATTGTGAATCTATTGCTACCCTATTTATGGATTTTGTATGATGTCTCGACCAATCTATTTAAATGATGAGTTTGAGCATTTCAAAACATAGGGTTATTTCATATGTGAAATTGTGGATTCTAAGTTGGATTGGATGAACCTGGATGATTTGATGTAATAATGTTTATTGAGTGAAAAATGATCAATTGATCGATTGGATTGTATTTGGAAACCTTGGACATGTTTGCATGTATTTAAAGAGAAGGATTGTGCATATCTTGATAATTTTATCACTACTAAAATTTTTCTTATTACACATAACTTTGCATAAAAATTCACAGAAAATAATTTGTTTTTACGCCTCCAACATGTGATGTATAACATTTTAAACTCTTAGATTAGAGATTATAAAGGTCTAACATTCAATCACACAAACTTGTAAAGTGAATGTTATCCCAACTTATATACTCATTAATTATTTTATTTCTAATCGATGTGGGACTCAAGGTTTTCTTTAAATATTAATTAGATCATGTCTTTAAAAAGAGAATTAATTCATTATATTGAACTATAAAATTATATTCTTATAAATTATTTTAACTCTTAAAATATTTGATATTCGAAAAAAATAGTTTTTTATTAAATAATTTTATTTTAAAAACTATCATTAAACTAAAATTCATCATCATTAATTTATACATTTTTAATTAAAATAAATATTTAATTTAGTAATATTTTAAATTAAAATTAATTTTTATGAAATATTTATAAATAATTTAGTAAAATAACATTTTTAATTAAAATAAATATTTAATTTAGTAATATTTTAAATTAAAATTAATTTTTATGAAATATTTATAAATAATTTAGTAAAATAACATTTTTAATTAAAAATATCCTAATTATTAAATTTATAAATTTTCAAAAAATTTAATTTTCTTGCGGATTAAAATTGGTAGGAAAATCTACATGAAAAGTTACCTGCAAAATTTTTATACCACTTAATAAAAATTACTTGTAAATTTATTTTTATAAGAAAATTTGCAAGAAACAAAATAAAATTCTTATAACATTTTCTGCAAATTTTTACCATGAAAAAAAATTCTATGATTATTAAAATTGTAGCAAAAATTGCAAAAATTTCTTATAGATTATTTTTCATAAAAAAATTTATAAAAAATTTCTATAAATTATTTTTCGCAAAATTTTTTTTGTGAAATTATTATTGTAAGAAAATTCACAAAAAAATTCTAGGAATATTTTTTTGTAGGAAAATTCATAGAAAAATGACACTTTTTTAATAATGTAAATTGTTGAATTTACAACCGTGCACTAGTGGAAAAAAAGCTTTTAAAATTGATTATTTTTAACATTTAAAATTGGTTCCCTAACTGATTTTAAAAGAGCCGATTTTAAAAGTTATACTTTTAAAATCGGTTAAATAACCGATTTTAAAAGTTAACTTTAAGATCGGTTGTTTTATAACCGATCTTAAAAGTCTTGGCTTTATAAAAATTAAACTGGAACGGGCCGTTCCAAGTTGTTAAAAAGGCCTAAAATTGTAGTTTAAAATGAGTCGTTCTAGCATAGTTTGGCATGAGTTAAAACTAATCCAAAACGAGCTGTTCTGATTCTAGAACGGGTCATTCACATTGCAAAATGGGCAATTTTGATTGCAAAATGGGCAATTTTGATTGCAGAACGAGCTGTTCTCATTGCAGAACGGGTCGTTCCAGATTCAAAATTTACCCAAATAACCCAATAACGAAACTAGAGACACGAGAAGAGCATGAGAAGATGAAAACAAACCCGTAGAAGCACCAAACGCAGGCACAGACGGTGACAAGGTCGTGCTCCCGGTACCCACGGTTGAAGCAGTGGTGGTTGTCGCCGTCAAGAACAGCGGCGCCGAAGACGAAAAAGAACCTGGTGCCTTCAACCCTCCTGCATCCCAAAAAATCAAAAACCCATTCTTTGGCTTAAAAAGAACCCTAATGTGGCCAGCTATAATAAAACAGCAACATACCTTACGGGAGACTTTAAAAAATGAGAGCACGAGAGAGTAAAAAAAGGAATGGAGGGAAAGATCAAAGAGAATGAGAATGGAGGGAAATATAAAAGATTTTTTACGATACTTTTAAAATTGGTTATTTAAGAACCGATTTTGTATACTACATACAAAATCGGTTCTTAAATAACCGATTTAAAAAGTAGCACTTTTAAAAATCGGTCATAAAAACCGATTTTAAAAGTACTTTTAAGATCGTTTATTTTATGACCGATCTTAAAAGTTATGTCTAATACAACTTTTACGATCGGTTCTTTTGTAAACGATCTTAAAAGTTGTGTCAAACATACCTTTTAAGATCGGTCATAAAATAACCGATCTTAAAAGTACTTTTAAGATCGGTTAAAATTTAAACGATCTTAAAAGTGTTCACATTATTTACAAAATTGTCACAGCGTGACTTTTAAGATCGGTCACCTTTTAACCGATCTTAAAACCCCGATTTTAAAACTAATTTTTGTACTAGTGTGAGGAATCCTCACGCCGGGTGTGGAGCTATATATCAAAGAGGTCCTAAACCTCTTGGTGGTGGGTGGAAAGTGATACACCAAGGCCATTTGAGGTCAATTTTACGAGAGTCTTTAGTTGTCTTACATCTGACATGATCATTCTCACACGGAAAATGATTGATAGTCCGAACTGACTATCCGAAATACTGTCTGAATGAATAAAATAATAATTTAAATTATTAAATATTAAATTAAATAATTATTTTATAATAAATTTATTAAAAAATATTAATATTTTAAATTTCGGAAGATCATTCGGCCAAATTTTTGGAGACTCTAGCTTTACTCTTCTCACACCATTGTAATCACAAATTTTTCACTTTGTAGAAACGAGAATCGCATAATTCCTTCTCCTCAAATTCATGGTTACATGTTAATTGCTTCAATTTACAAACCAATTAGTCAAATATTCAATTGATATTCACAAAACATCACAACGTCATCAATCCATCAAATTTTGTCCAAAACCTCCTAAATTCTTACCTAATAACCCTAACTCTTGAAATGCATAATTTTCATTACTAAATAGATTCATTAGCACAAAATACATGATTCATAAATAGATTAACAATAGATTCATAATTATAGTCATACAAATCTATATAATTTAAACACACAACCACAAAGAGACTTAGCGATCCCTTCTCTACTCTTGTCCGTAATATATGACTGTGCCTTCGACAATCTCATTTCCTCCTACCTAGAATAACAAACTTGCAAATTAATGTGTTTTCTCTATATTTTCTCTTGTAAGTGCTCTAAGTTTTTTAGAAGGTCCATAACAACCTAATTTTCTCTTTTTACTTCTTTTTAGTTAGTCTCCGAATTGGATCTAAAGTCCAACTCAAATTCCTCTATTTTATCTCTTCCTTTTATTTTTATTAATAAAATATTTCATTCATATCGTATTTTAATTATTCTAATTAATTTATTATTTATTTAAGAAAATAAAATATTATAAGACCAAAATTAATTAACCATTATAGAGATTATATATATATATATATATATAATCAACATCTTAAAAACACAATGTCATATTTTACACTATAATTATTCATTTTGGTATTCTTTATGACTCTACAAAACTTGATAAAAGAAAAATCTAGAACTCATGTCTACATGTTAAAAATCAAAATCAATTGCTATATAACTTGTGATGAAAATCACCTCAAAGTAAAGTTTAAATTTGACTTTCTTTTTCTTTTTCTTTTCACCTAGAAGTCCTGCATCACCTTGAATAAATTCATGCATGTCCTCTTTCTTATATAAGGAGGAGATTCCAACCTAACGAAACACACATAAAATGCGCTTAATGAAAACTTTGAACTTAATAAATTTTATTTGTTTTTGGGCTTAGTAAAAATTATTGAGCATAAAGTAATTTTTCCTGCCTCTTAAGGCTTCCTATGGAGAAACATGAGTCCTCGCATATATGATGCTCTTGAGGTTAGTTTAACTAATCTATGTATATTTTATCATTATTATTCCTTTAATTACTTTTTTAATATGAAACTTTTTATGTTTTTTTAATTAGAATATTTAAAATTAAAAAAGGTGTTACTACTTAGTAATGATAGCCATTTGAATTTATTTTCTATTTTATTATCATTAAAGTCTAAGAAATAAAGGAGCTTTAAGGTTGTTAATAATAAACATTTAGATCTTATTCTTTGATTATTACTAAGATTTTATTTAAATATTAAATACTTTATGATAATAATAATTTATAAATAATATTTTTAATAATAATCATTTGCATCTTCTTTTTATTTGATTATTTTTAAGATCTTATCAAAATGTTAAATATTTTCTAATAGTAATTTATAATTAAGATTTTTAACAATAATCATTTGAATCTTTCTTTTAACCTGTTTGAGAAATATTAAAATCTTTCATTTTAACAACTACTTTTAAAAAAATTTGTTTACAAAAAAAACTGTATTTGAAACAACTTAAATTTGTAAACATTTTTTTTTAAATAATAAGCCATTTTTATGAAATTGACAATTTGAAACTTTTGATTAATTCTCCACATATTTTTTTTTTTTTGCCTTTTAAGATGATTTAAAGTATA